CTATCTATCCTTTTATCTTTTTATCTATTTATCGCTATATGATCATAAATCTTGCCTATTTTTTTCACACATACTTGGACATGTAACTTCGTCAAAATATTCTGGCATTTATACTTCACGTTCGAATGTTATTTCAAGATAGATTGCCTTGACTTTAAGAGATTGAACTGCTTTATTGTTTATTGAATGTTTCGTTGTTGTAAGTATCCGCTAGTGGTTATTTTGGCCAACATGGTATTTCAAAACGAAATTTAAAAATAAAAACGTAACGAATATTCGACCTGCTGCTCAAAACAATACCTTGCGTTTATAGCCTACATCACCGAGACGTAAAGGATAACGGTTATTGGTTCAAACAAATAAATGAGTTAGACAAACGTGAGGGATATTGGCTTAAAGGCAAATGAAAGGTCTTGTTGATTTGAGCAATTGGTTTCGATCGGATAAATATTAAATACAAAAGAGAACATGTCCTAACAAGCTGTTTAATTCATAATACAGAAGGAATACCATAAAAGGAAAGCACGAAAACTTTTCTTTTTGGAACTCAAAATTGTCAACGTACACACTATTTTTGAATGGTGCTGAGTAATATTTCTTCATACTGTCTTTACTATTCTCTTCTGCTGTGCTTTCATTGACTAGTTAGCCATTTCTGATTGTAGGTTGCCTTCTCATGTAAAAAAGTGAATTTTTTTCCATTCGCTGGTCTTATTTTCTAATTTCTGTCTCTTATCGTCTTAGTTCTAATTTTCTTTCCCCCCTCCCTCCCTCTCCCTCCTCTCTCTCTCTCTCTCTCTCTCTTCTCTCTCTCTCTCTCTCTCTCTCTCTCTCTCTCTCTCTCTCTCTCTCTCTCTCTCTCCTCTCTCTCTCTCTCTCTCTCTCTCCCTCTCCTTCTTCCTTCCCCTCCTCTCTCTCTTTGCATAAAAATAAATAGACAAAATTAAGCTTCAGTAATGCAGTGGCTTAATCAAGCTCCAAAGTTCTAAGCAAACCACTTCAAACACTGGCGTTGACCGGCCTACTTGCAATGTAGCTAATGCACTTCTGAAGCTTCTGAAGTGTCACCCTCCTCTTTGGCTCCATTGCAGGGCCGTGTATCTTGTCGTCTTTGGTTTTTCTTTTGAAACTTTTATCTTTTGGAAATTTTCCGGACTAGCCTCTTGAAGTTGATGATGGTAAGGCGACTTAGGCATCTTTTTTTATGACTTTGTTTCAGCGTGATTTAACAGGGGAGGTTGGAGACGGCGAGGAAGTCGCTCGCGCCGCTGGTGCACACGGTGAAGCATACGGACACTCACACGCACATGCAAAAAAGAAAAGGAAAAAATACCATACATGGCAGTACACATAAACGTAGATACACATGCTATATGTATGTATGTATGTACGAACGTACGCATGTACATACATGTTTGTTAATATATACATATATATATATATATGTATATATATATATATATATATATATATATATATATATATAATATATATATATATATATATATATATATATATAGGTTGTGACTTCTCGATATTGCTGTATACTACTAAAGGAAACAAAGCATTCCCTAAACGCGCCAGACTATTGCCACCCGCCATGGCGGCCGAACACTATGGAGCTCCGACCGTACCTCCGACGCGGTCTCTCGAACGAAGCCTCGACTCGCGGTTCGAAACACATGCGAAACAGGCTCAGTCGTCTCACTGTGAGAGGCGTTTGTCACAAGACCTAGTGTGCCATCTGCAAAGGTCATGTGACGGGGCAAACAGTACATGGGTTGTGTGTAGTTGTCATGTCATATGCATTTATATAGATATTTCTTTCTGGCATGTATCGATGCACGGTGTGAAGTAGTGGGAA